AAGGACGGAACAAATTTAAATATGGCACAAAGGACAGCACATAGCATCAATGGGTCATCCCTCCCTCCCCCCTGGACACAATGCACATTCCTATTAGGAATTTTTTTTAATTTTTAAAAATCTTTATTGTGAATTTCATACATGCGTATAAGCTGTTTTGATCAAATCCATGCCCACTCTCTCCTCTCCAGTATGCTCCCTCTGAAGAGGTAACTCTAAAATCTTTTAAGGATTAGATACAAGCTCTCAAATACTTTTGACATTTTTGGTCTTTGGGACAGAGTATGTTGTAAACAGGCCCAAGGACCTTTTGAGTTTTAGCTCAGAAACTGGCTACATTTTTGGGTGGTCTTTTTACCCTAACTGCCTAGCCAATTCCTACCTTATTCCTATTATGCCATCCTCTAAAGGGATTAGTCAAATTGCCAATAGGGATAGGGACACGAACTACTCTGTCTTCTTCCATGCTGAACAGGGAAGCAGGGGGAGGCAATTGGAGTACTCCTTAAGTAGGTCTATCTAAAAGACTCCCAAATTGCATAAATCTTGTCTCTAAGTGGAAAAGGAAGTCCTTGAATCATGAGTAGGAGATGTAAAGGAGAAGTAAAGGCATGGGTAATTAGCATTACAAATTCTAGTCAGGGAACTAAAAAAAAGGAAGAACAGGGAAATTTGCAAATGTTCATATGAGAGTCCATTTGTTTTTTTGACAAGAGCTTCCAAAAGCATCCCTGTATTGGGTTCTTCCTCATTTTTCTTTTGTCCTCCAAGGCTGGACTATTTGGATGGGAAGAGTAGATGGATACTCAGGTGATGGTCCAGTGACCCTGCTTGGCACTCCTTTAATGAATGAGCCCAACGGTCAACAAGCCCAACTGTGACTGTGTTTATGGATCAGGTTCAGTAGTAGTCATGATGATGGTAGTTGTTTCTTTCAGAAGGCACTGCTGTACAGCGTCATCTTATTAAAAGGACTTGGAATTTAAAAGAATCTGGTGCTAGGAGCTACATATGAGGTAGAACATAGGTCATTTGTTTTTCTGAGTCTGTGTTCACTTAGTATAACAGTTTCTAGATCCATCCATTTACCTTCAAATTTCATTATTTATCTTTCTTTACTGTTGAATAGAACTTCATTGTGTAAATGTACCACCTTTTTGTTAACCACTTATCGGTTGAAGGACACGTAGGTTGCTTCCATCTCTTAGCTATTGTGAAAAGAGCAGCAACAAACATGGTAGTACAAGTGTCTCTACACTAGGACGAGTCCGTTGGGTATATGCCAAGGAATGGTATAACTGTGTCAGATGGTAGGTTCTTTTTTAAGTGTTCTCCACACAATTTTGCATAGAGGCTGCACGAGTTTCCAATCCCACAAGCAGTGAATGAGCATTCCCCTTTCTCCACTTAGAGGTATAAACTTCACTCTTAGAACTGCTTTTAATGTGTCCCAGAGGTTATATTGTGTTGTATTTTCTTTTTTGTTGAATTCCAGGGATTCTTTTATTTCATTCTTAATTTCTCCTTTGACACACTCATTGTCTAGGACTGTGTTGTTCAATCACTACAACTTTGTGTAGTGACTATGGCTTTGTCCACTGTTGGTTTAGAGCTTCGTTACTTTGTGGTCCAATAGAATGCATGGAATTATTTGTTGAGATTTGTTTTGTGGCCCAATATGTGGTCAATTTTTGAAAAAGTTCCATGTGGTGCTGAGTAAAAAGTGTATTCTTTTGTGTTTGGTGGACTAATCGAAAGATGTCTGTTAGGTCCATTTCATATATGGTATCATTTAATTCAGATGTCTATTTATTCTTTGTCCATTTGACCTGTCTAATGGAGACAGTGGGATGTTGAAGTTTCCTACTATTGCTGACCTGGGGTTAATCTGTGTCTTAAAGTCCTGTACTGTTGTTTGTATGAATTTGGGTGCATCAGAATTTGGTGCTTATATGTTAAGGATTGTGGTATCTTCTTAGATAACTGTTCCTTTGATTAGAATGAAGTGACTCTCTTTAGCTCTTCTAATTAGTTTTACTTTGAAGTCTATTTTGTCAGATATTAGAATTGGCAAACTCTTCTTGTTTCTAGTGCCATTTGCTTGGAATATTGTTTTTCATCCTTTTACCTTAAGGTAGTGCCTGTCCTTGAAGGTTAGATGGATTTCTTGCAGGAAGGAAAGAGATATATTTTGTTTCTTAATCCATTCACTTAGACTGTATCTTTTGACTGGGGAGTTCAATCCATTGATGTTTAAGATTATTATTGAAAGGTTTTTATTCATTGCCATCATTTTGATTGTTCTTTATGTTCTCTGTATAATTTTGTATTTCCTAGTTTATATCTTTGTTTATTATTTTTGGTTGCCCCTAGGGTATAGTTGTTTCTCTCTCTGTTCTCTGTATTTCTTCAAGTATTCTTTGAAGTGCTATTTTGTGGACCCATATTCTTTCAGGCTATTCATGTCATGGAAGATTTTTTTTCCCCCACAAGTATAATAGACATTTTTGCTGGGTATAGTATTCTGGGCTGGCATCTATTGTCCTGTAGAATTTGAAATACCTTGGACCAGGCTCTTCTGGCTTTCATAGTTTGCATTGGTAAGTCATCTGTAATTCTGATGGGGTTTCCTTTGTATGTGCCTTGTTTTTCTTTTGCTGCTTTCAGTATTCTCTCTTAGTTCTGTACATTTAGTGTTTTTACTATGATATGTCATGGGGAATTTGTTTTCTGATCCTGTCTATTTGGTGTTCTGTGTCCTTCCTGTATTTGTATGGGGATATCCTTCCTTAATTTTGGGAAATTCTCTTCTACAATTCTATTTGACATCTGGTGAACACCATTAACTGAAATTCTTTGCCTTCCTCTATTCCCATGATCCATAGATCTGGTCTTTTCATGGTGTCCCACATCGGTTGCATATTCCAGTGTTTTTCTTTTTTTAATTTTCCATACTTGTTGCTTCAGTGATGCAATTCTTCAACTTTATCCTCCAGTGTTGATATTCTGTTTTCCATTTAATTCATTCTAGAGGTGAGGCTTTCCCCTGTTGTTTCAAGTTGGCTTATTGAGTTTTGCACTTCCTTCTTCATTTCTGCCCCAGTTTTTTTCAATGTTTCTATCTCTTTAGTAAATTCATTCAGAAGTTTATCCTTATCTTCATTTAGGGCTTTGATTTGCTGTTCATGTGTTCTTTAAATTTGTTGAATTCCTTGATCATATTTATCATTATTCTTTAAAAGTCAGTGTCCTGGGCTATTTCTAGGGGGTTCTCCATGTAGAATTTTTCTACAGGATTGGTGGTGTTTGGTGGGGACATAGTGTTTTGGCTTTCTATTTTATTATTCTTTCACTGTGTTTTTGGCATGTGAATTTCTTTTGTTGTTTATGATTCTGATATGAAAATTAACTTGAAGTATGCTTCTCTTTATATTATCCAGGTGCCTAGATCCTTTCTTTATTGACTATGGAAAGCTAGTTGGTACAGGGTTCAGGTTCTCTCAGGTTTATTTTGGAGGGAACTGATGGCTTCAGATCAACTATTCACGGGTAACCACAGAAGCCCAATTCGGGTTCCAGTCAGGTACACTTAGGCTTCCTTTACCATGTGGAGGTAGGATCCAGGCTCTCTCAGGCAGTCACATGCATTGTCAACCCTGTGCTAGAGGGAGGCCAGAGGCGGGCCAAAACTTGGCACTCTCTGGTGGTCTGCTCAAATCACAGTTGTTACACCAATGGTGGTCCAAAGCCACCCTCTCAGGCTGTCTGCTAGGATCTCGGCCTTAGTCTCTCAAAGCCAGAACTTCCCTGGGCCCTTGGGAGGGGCCTCACAAAATCCCAGGTAGGGGGATGGTATTGTGCAATTAGACAAAGCTCACAACCAGGTGGAGGCAGGATCTGGGAACTGTGAGGCAGTCCCCTAGGTTCTCAGGGCCTCTGGTAGTTGGAGGCCAGAGGAAGGCCAGAACTCAGCACTCTCTGGTGGTCTGCTGACCTCTAGGCTGTACTCTGTTGGAGATCCGAACCCACCCTCTCCAACATTAATTTTTGTCAAGGAAGAACTATGTGTATTTAGGAGGTGCAGTGTGATATTTTGTTCTCTACATACATTTTTGAAATTGACTATTAAATTAACATAATTACCACTTCATGAATTTTCCTATTAAAATATATATACTCAAAATAATGTCACAATGTATTTTCGAGACTGAAAACTGGCTGATGAACGCAACTTTTATAAAGTGACTCCTTCAATATTGGCAGTGAAATTTCAAGAATTTGAGAGGCTTGATTTCAATCAAAGTCCTCCCAAGTAATCAGAAGAGACACAATTTAATGTCTCAGGTAAGTATATAATAAACTAGAATTCAAGAAAAGAGTTTCTATTGTATTCTCTTTGAAATTCATTTGCACAATCTAAATATCCCTCAGTCTATTAGTGGATCCTTGTACATTTGTTACATTTACACTGGAGTTCTACTTTGTAGTAATGGAAAAGGAAATCAAGTAATTTGTAGGTCAGTGGATGGAAGTAGACGTGGCTATACTAAGTGAGCCTCAGGTGTCTCCCAATTGTGGCTCCTACCACCAAATCTTGAATAGATACTCAAAGGAAGTGAATTCTGTACGGGCTAGAGATATGTGCACTCACTATTTATTGCAGCACGATTTAAAGAATAGGGAATCTACTAAAATGTCCATTGACAAATGAAAGATTTACTGAAGTGTGATATTTCTGAAGAATACATCAAAATCCACGGAAAAGAGTGGAATCTTCTCATACTTGAGAACAGGATTGATCTGGTGGACACTGTATCAGGTAAAGAAGTTGAAACGCAAGCACTACATGATTTGTCATAAAAGAAGTAGAAAACGAAGAGATAGATATAGATAGTGAGGGTACGATAGCAGTTTACAGTGGATAGGGAGGATGTGTGGTAAATAACAGAAACAGTGTGATGGCTTCATGGCTTAACGCGTCATGGCTTCATGACTTAACTAAGTTCTATTGTTCTATGCCACCACAAGGTGAATAAATTCTCCAACTTACATTTTCTATCTTAAAATTATTAAAAAAGATCAATTTGTATACACTCACCATAGGAAAGGATAAAATTTTGCATGTGGATATATTAATAATAGACTAAATCAAATGACAATGTATATAACTAAGAAAATATCAGGGATAACTCATAAGTATGTAAAATATCATTTCATCACACAATGAAGATTGCGTTTTTGAATGATTTATTTTATTTCATGTGTAAGAATGTTGTGTTTGTGTGTATGTAAGTGCAACCATGTGAGCAATGTCTGTGGAGGCTGGAAGACAGTATAGGAACCCCCAGAACAGGTGTTCAGTACAGTTGTTAGCACCATGTGGGTACTGCAAGTTGAACCAAGGTCCTATGTAAGAGCAGCCAGTATTCTTTACCTCTAAGCCATCTCTCAAGATCCAAGAATAGACTTTTAAAACTCACAATGAACTACTCCTGAACTTCAGCCTTTAAAAGGAAAACTCTTACTTATGCTTCCCTCCAGCCCCACAGATTCTGTTCATGAAGCTAAGTAGAAGCATCAGTGCTATTTCAATGAACAGTTGCAGGCAGAAGAGAGTGAGGCTGGTGGTCAGCTACCAGTGCTTCTGAAAGAGCTTAGTTTAGCTTCTATTCCAGTGGATGAAAACCATCTTACTCTGCCTTCTTTAAGTAAAGAGGTGAGGCAGCTACAGTCCCATGTTGTAGTAGAAATTCTTGATCTTGTTGGCAGGGCAGGCCACTCAAAGGCAGAAAAGCAGATATTTCTACGGGGTCTCCATGTTGAGCTTTCTTCCTGCACTTCTACAGTGACAGCAGACAGTATAACGGCCTATTTTGTTTTCTCAGGTGCTTCTTCCTCTTGTTATGTTGGCAGGTGAAGTGAGTTTTCAGTAAACTGAGAAGAAGTTTCTTGAAAGAGGGAGAAGAGTGTTTATGTATTGCCTGGGAAGAAACTCCCAGAAGGAGGAGAGAGATGGCTTCTTTTCAGGTAAATACATCCAAGGCCTAGACCACATACACTTAATTTCCCTAAATGTTTGGTAGTTTGAACTTGTAATCTTTACTCGTCCAAAAACTTGCTATGTAGGCCAGTCTAACCTGGATCTCACAGAGACCCTAGTGACCTTTTGTCTGGAGTCCTGGGTGTAAAGGCCCAAACCACCATGCCTGGGCCACATTTCATATGTATCACCTATGTAGCATATCTACCTCTCCATTTTGTCCTCCAGTGCTTATGCTTTCCAGCCTAATCCAATGAATTCATGACCAACTATCTCAAAAGTGTTTCTGATATGATAGGTGAAAGTTCAAACATGTCAGTCTTCACTTTCTAAGGAGGATGATTGACTTGAGTCCTCATATGCCACTGTATTGTTGTTTGATCTATATATAAAACATATTTTTGTGGATTATTGTATTACTTTACTCAGTATTTAATCCCACCAACATCACAGGGCTGATGGAATGTGCTGCTGTGTTTGTTGACACCTGTATTCTTTTGTCTCCTGGTAGTTGATTCCCTTTTAAACTGCTCTGCACCAAATACCAGACATTGACATCATTGTTTTTAACTTGTTAGGAATAAGTTTTCTTCTGGTAGTTTACAGAATGAAGCACATGAAAAAATGACATTTAATGCAGAATCTCTCCTTTCATCACTGTTAGTTTTTTTCCTTTCTTTGGAGAAAGAAACCTTTCTCATTTCTTTGCTAAATGCTGAGTTCTCCATGTGGAGATTCTGAAGCAGACATCTTTTTCTCTGTTGGCTTAATCACAGCACTATCTCCTTTACTGGTTATTTCATCCTTAGAATGAGCTCTCTTTATCAAATGTTACACACATGTAGTTGTCTGGTTTTGAAAGCGTATGTGTATGCAGCATTAACATTGTTCAGCCGGCACTGATCTTGCCTTCATGTTTTCGTTACTGTTTGGTGAGGAGCCCTGTACTCAGGCCCTCTTATTGTTGTGTGCATAAGTCAGCCAGTGTGTTCCTTCTAGGTAAATTTAGGTTCGTAAGTGATGATAGAAGAAATCATTGTAAAAGTATTGTTAGAATAATGATGCTCTGATATTTCTGTAATTTCTATGTTACATGCAGGGTGTAGGATTTTCTTTACAAGGATTGTGTCTTCTTGGTGTGGAGGAGAGCACATACAGTTTTTTATTTTCTGCAATGTTCTACTCAGTGCTGTTGGAGAAGGTGTCATTTGTACCTGGGGCCTGGCCTCACTGAAAAGTCTGTAAGGAAAGGGTTAAGTCAGGTCCAGCCAAAGATCATGTTAAGGTGAAAATCTGTGTTTCAGATAGGACTAAAGTGCATGGTTATAAACATTCGAATTTATGAAGCAGACTTATAATCATTGTAACTTTACATCAGATAAATATATACAACTGGTCTTACATGTTACTAATATAGGAGTGAAGTGCAATTCCTGTGTTGATGGCTTAATTTATGTGCTATGCTCCTTAACACCATAATCTTCACAAAAACTTGGAGGGTCTGATGCTATTCTTTTTTGCACAGAGTTTGTGAGTAGATTATTCTTCATTCAGATTCATCATTTAATTCAGAAGGCATTTACTAATTATCTTTTTCTTTCTTGGGTCCAGTACCCTGTTTAAGCGCACATGTTATAATTGTAATTTTTCATTTTAGGATCCATTGACATTCAAAGATGTGTCCATAGACTTCTCCCAGGAGGAGTGGGAATGCCTAGATTCTGCTCAGAGGGCTTTGTACAGGGAAGCGATGTTGGAGAACGACAGCAATCTGGTGTGCATAGGTGAGGAGATTTTTCTTGGAGAAGTTTTTACTATCCTTTCCTTTGAAAGATTATAGTCTACTTTGTGCATGTGTTAGTTTTGCTAATTAAGTCTTGGATTCTTTAAAAATTAGTTCATGGGAATATCTGGGAATCATGAAGAACATGTTTATGTTTTATCTTTTCTTTCCATTTCCACTTGTT